GCACCTGGCTGGCTCTGAAGAGTGAGCAACTCTTGATCTCAGGGTCGTGAGTTTGAGCCCCTCATTGGGTGCAGCAATTACTAAAAATAAATAAAAAATTAAAAAAATTAACCTTGATTTGGGGGCAGAAAGGGGAGCATTTCCCTGTAACATCTTGGTGCTGGTTATGGAGGAGGAAAGAAAGTTGGTGGGAAAGACGGACTAGCTGTGGGGTGGGGAACCCTTGTGGTGTTAAAGGAACCAATGTTTAGGGTGAAGTTAGGAAGAATAGAAGGGCACACATGGGCAACCACACAAACATAAGCTCAGACAGCCGTTCCCACACCCCCTGACATGCCAAGAGGTACATGTTTGCCCAAGTTCTGGACCTAGCCAAGTCAAGGCTGAGAACCCCAGCCTGGGCTCAGCTTGCTTGTCCTAAAGTCACCCAGGAATTTATCCCTCTGGAGAAGCTGAGTGTGGCAGCCAGAGGTGCCCTGTCTTCTGCCCCACAGATGTCACAGAGCCTGATACAGGGCTGCCAGTTGGTTTAATTATCCAGATGGGAAGTTAGCAGGGGGAGCCCAGTCTTGGGTAGAGATTAATGACTCCATTATCTTCCCGGGCAATCATTCTGTCCAGAGCCCAGTCCAGAATATAGATATAAGGTGTAAATAAAGTACCTGTTCTGAGGAGCACATTTTTCATTGTCTCTGTTTGGGAATTGGCCCCTAGAAACCATTGGTTCAAATCCAGGAGGTGACTTTGTTTGGCAGCACAACTTGGTCCATTTGGGGGCAAGTGACAGGCCTCCTGAGCCCTGGGCTGAGGCTTGGGTCAAAAGATGTATTTTCTTCTTTTTCTTAAACTCAGAAGTAATACATGCTTGTTGTAAACAAAGCCAGAAAGCTTCATGGAATGTGACAAATGATGGTTCTTGCCCCCGCTTCCCAGTCCCTGAAAGTAACTATAGTTAAATTGGTTGATATTCTCACAAACATGTCTTTTGTTGTTGGTTTTTCTTTTGAGTCAATTTTTTTCTCAACTTGCTTGAAATATAATTGAAATACACTATATGGCACATATTTAAAGTATATAATTTGATTAGTTTTGACCTATGAATTCACCCATGAGATCTTCACCACAATTAAGATAGTGGACGTATCCATCATCCCTCATGTCTATTATCTACACTTGTGCCTTTCTGCAGTCCCCACTCTCTCCCTCCCCTACCACTGACCTTCTTCTGTCACTAGAAATTAGTCTGCATTTTCCAGAATTTATGTAAATGGAATCGTACAGTGCATAGTCATTTTTTGGGGAGTGGAGGCTGGCTTCTTTTATTCAGCATAATGATTTTGAGATCCATCCATTTGTTCCTTTTTACTGCTGAGTAGTATGGATGTACCACAATTTGTTTCTCCATTTGTCTGTTGATGGACTTTTTAGATTGTTTCCTGTACAACCTGTACAATCAGGTTGTAGTGATTACAAATAAAGCTACTCTGAACATTTGTGGACAAGTCTCGGTGTGGACAAAGGTTTTCGTTTCTCTTACGTAAATGCCTAGGAGTGGAGTGGCTGGGTGGTATCATATATCATACAGCAGGTGTATGTTTAACTTCTCAGGAAATTTCCAAACTGTTTTCTAAAGTGGTTTACCGAATTTTACATTCCCCAGCAGTGTATGAGAGTTCCTTGTGCTCCACATCCTGGCCAACACCTGCTAGGACCAGTCTTTCTCATTTTAGACACTCTCATGGACGGGTAGTGGTATCTCATTGTGATTGTAACTTGCCTTTGCCTAATGACTGATGATATTGAGTATCTTTTTACGTGCAATTATTGGCTAGTCCCCTATGGTGACTAGTTAAGTGTCTGGGAGCAGGGGGTGCAAGATGGCTTTAGAGCTGCTAACATTGACTTCCCTGTGAGACACCCATGCAGAGATGTCGGCGGTCAGCTGGGGACCGGAGTCTCGACTTCAGAGGAGAGGTCGAGGCTAGAGATGTCAATTCAGAAGTTGTCAGCTCATAAGTATTTAGAACCATGAGAAGGGATGAGATCACTAAAGGAAGAGCATAGATAGAGAAGTGGCCCCAGTCTGAGTTTATTTTGAAGCCAGAAGATGAGGAAGAACCGCTCACAGACTAAGAGAAGAAAGTGCCCAATGGCAGGCGACATCGCAGGGACTGGCCTCCGACGCTGGCGCATCAAGAACCACACCCTCCGCAAGTCACTCATGTAGCCCCGCCCACTTCAGTTCCTGGCCGGTTCTGTGCAACCAATAGGACGCAGCAGAAATGACGTGCCTCACCTCCGAGGCTTACGTCCTAAGAATTCCTGCAGCCGCCCTCTTCTCTTTTGGTACAATGCTCTGGGATAAGCCAGTTGCCATTGAATAAGTTTGACCAGGGGCGCCTGGGTGGCTCAGTCATTAAGCTTCTGCCTTTGGCTCAGGTCCTGATCCCAGGATCCTAGGATCGAGCCCCGCATCGAGCCCCGCATCGAGCCCCGCATCGAGCCCCGCATCG